AATAATGATAGGGAGATATGTTTGAAAGTAGTTAGGAGACCACAGCCCTAAAGAACCCAAAAATTATCCTAAAAGGTGGTCTAAAGGTACAAACTCCCAGTTATAAAATAAATACGTTTTGGGGAGATAATCTACAACAGGTGACTATAGTTAACAATACTGTGTTGTATATTTGAAAGCTGCTAAGAGAATAGATCTTAAAAATTCTTCCGACAAGAAAAAAATCGTAGCTAAGTGAGGCAATGGATGTCAACTAAGCTTATTGTGTAGTAATTTGCAGTATAAACGTTATGTTGTACATCTTATACAACGCTATGTGCCAATTATATCTCAGTAAAACTTGGGAAAAATAAAATAATAATAAATAATAAAAATAAAAACTATGCTCCAACAAAGTCAGCCCATAAAACAGGTATTTGAACCGTTATCATTTTGTGTATCTCCCCATAGCTTTCTTTGCTTTTCTTGAGTTACATTTTGGCTTAAGTGGAAGAACTTTTGAAAAAATGGTTGTGTGAAATCTGTTGCAATGCCTAGTGTGCTGCAGCTGCAAATATCTTGCTCTGCATTCCATGATATTCTCCGGGTGAAGTCTCACAGGGAAAGTGACTTTAACATCTTAGTAACAATAATATTTGTATTTTTCCCAGGTAAGAGACTTCCTTTTTCCTTTTTATCTTAGAGACCTAAATACGTTTTAAAATAAAAACATACTAAACAACGAACCTATGTTAGCAGTATTCATAAGGGACTATCTTTATCATAAAAATTAAAAATTAGGTATTAAAGGAAATGTTATTTTAATTTGTGTAAGTGCATTTCTTTATTTTGACAGAGCACATGAGTGGGGGAGGGGCAGAGAGAGAGATAGGAAGAGAGAGAATCCCAAGCAGGCTCCTCACTGTCACCCTAGGGCCTGGCATGGGGCTCGATCTCATCAACCTTAAGATCATGACCTGAGCCGAAATCAAGAGTCAGATGCTTAACCAACTGAGCCACCCAGGTGCCCCTAAGAGAAGTGGTGTTATACTTGATAGTTTAATACAACTTAGCTCAGAGTATGTATTATTACATGTAAATAAAGCCAAACGTGAATCAAATAAATAGTGTAGATGCCCACAAAGTAATGAATCAACAATTTTGTTAGCATTTCTGTTAGAACAATTTATTTTCTTGCTACAGTTATCTAAAGAATATTAATGCCAGTCTAGGATAGATATTTAGATATCTAGATGATATTGTGTGTATTTGTGTTATATATAATATATAGTTATATTCTTAAATATATATCTAATATATATTATGTTTATATACACATTAAATATGTGGATGTATATATTATTTTTTACAGTAATAATCTCTGTTACCCTTAAAATTAAAGAATGAGAACCAAAATGGCAAGTTGGGATTTCAAATACAACTGTAAGATATTGACGAAGAGTAGGATATCTTTAAACCAGTAGCTACCAAGTAAGTTGAATGTTTCAGTATTTATTGAGGGCCTGCTGTACATTAGGCACTGCTCTGGCACTTGGGGTATGTTAGTGAATAAAATAAAAAACCCTACCCACAGAGATTTTATATTCTCAGGAGAAATCATGAAAGGAAAACAATCCTTGCTATAGTCGTTCGTTTGACACTTTAACACAACTTTTGTCCACACACCTGATTTTAACAAAAGCAAGACTATTTACGCCTTACCTAGTTTGATTCAACAGAGAGATCAAAGGAGAAGCAAGCCCTGAGGAAAGCTAGAAATACTT